AAAAGGGATCTTAGCCAAAATACCTGTTTCAAAAATTCCTGGTACACATTCACAAAATGGGGAAGAGCTGAGTGGGACAACAGTGAAATCTGCCGCGACCAAGGAGGTGACTTAGCTTCCATCGAAACCGAGGAAGAATGGAAGTTTATCAATCAAGAAATTAAAAAACGTAGTACTTGGAATGTCAGTGCATGGCACATTGGCTTAGAAAAAGGGACAGACGGGAGTTGGACTTGGAAGAGTGGAACGCAACTGAATATTTCAAAATGGCGAAATTGTGAGATAAGTGGTAACGGAAAGTTTGCAGAAGTATCCAAGAATGGTAGCCTTAAAGCAATCCGCGAGACCAATTCCAAAGCTTTTATGTGTGAAATTCCTGAAGGTAAGACCGCATTTTAACCATAAGACACCCTATGAGTCGAAAGCTGCACGCCCAGCTAGCACTCGACCTGGAGAAAAATTCTCTTTCAAAAGACAAAGACATATGTCACTGCTCAAAGAATAAGGATAATCTAACCTAAGTTGTCCGTCTGATAGATGTACACGGTGAGTGCGAGCGTGTTGTAAGTCATGATAGCTAAACACGAATCCAACTTTCAATTCCTTTTTCAGTTAGGAAAGGGGGTAGTGGGTTAATGTTTAAACACACAGTTCAATCTAGTAGCATTTTTTTAAAAATACAAGCACAAGTTTTCTTTAGGTGATTTGGTAATTAAAGGGAAAAAATTTTTTTAAAGGCCCATTTCCAACCGAGATGCCTTGCGCGCCTGGATCATTTTTCTTATATGAAAAATACGCTATTTTCCTCGTTGTTGTGGAATCGCTTTGACATCTTGTTCCATCTTACTAATTAGGGGTTACAAAGTTCCATCTTGGATCATGTGCGAACAGCAAACTATCGTAATATCCATATCAGTAAATAGTTTTTAATTCTTACCTCTATGACGGTGTATTTTTTGTATGACGGTGTAAAGCGTCATTTGAAAAGTTGATGCCGCCGAAGAAGCGGTCTAGAGGAAGGCCGAGTCTGCCCGGGTCGGCAAAGGTTTTTCTGTACAAATGTATTGATTGTTCCTACGATGGAACTAGAGACTCCGGGTAGATCTTTTCGAGGTGAGAATAATTATTTGACTCATTTTTACTTGAGATCATGAGATATGCACGTAATTGATCTCATTTGTACAAGTCATTATTCTATAATTGAAATGCGTAAAGTAAATCAGATATGGCCAATATTGGTTATTTGTTTATATTTTAATTAGTGTTGAGGCCGAACAATTTCTTTCAACATCAGGTAAGCTTTGTACGAGTTTTATACTCAGACTCGATTTATGATTTCTCAGTCTCAAATATATAGCTACAAATTTGTTTACTGTGTTCTTCACCAAATCTTTTTTTTTTTTCTTTTTAATAGTGTTTTTTGAATGACTCTCAGAGTTCGCCATTTAACAATAGCGCGATTCCAAAACAAAAACAAACGATTGCAAAGAATCTCGGATGGAAATGGGCCTTTAAGTAGTGGACTCACCGAGCAAACCTTATAGTATTTTGAACGTATTGTCGCGAGATGACCATCCAAAATGGTTCCAAAATCTCCACATGCACAATGGTTAATTAAAATGAGAGCACTTTCGAGATTGGAATGCGACAATAGAGAAATGTGTATAAGTGGCATAGATCAATCAAACGCTATGAAAAAAATAACGTGAAAGATAAAACAATCTTTATGTCCCAAGGCATGCATACTGGGTGTTTTAGAATTGTGGTGGTCAGTATCATCACAGCTACTATATTGTCATTGTCATTATCTTATCATCATTGTCACTATCTCAATTATTATTATTATTTACTGTCATTATCAACGTCACTATAATTACCGTTTTAGTGACAAATATTATTTTGACTATGATCATCATTACCATGAACATTGCCATTGTTATTGTTATTGTCATCATTACTACTATTATCATTATTATTATTATAATTATTATTATTATTATTATTATCATTATTATTATTACTATCATTATTATCATCGTCGCTATCATAATTACTATTATCATTACTACTTTGTAGTATGCCCAAATACCTCTTTTAAAGATTCATGGTACACATTTACGAATCGGGGAAAAACATGGAACAAAAACAGAGAGATCTGCCAAAGCCAAGGAGGAGACCTGGTTTCCATAGAGACAGAAGAAGAATGGAATTATATAACTAAAGAGATTCAGAAACACAATATTTCCTGTTATCATATTGGTTTAGAGAAAAGGGATAACAATTGGACTTGGTTAAATGGAAGACCGCTGACTATCTGGA